GAAGACCCCCAACGAGATGGATCAGCCAGGTGGCATCATTGAAGGACTCAAGTGTGGCAGCGGTAGTGAGGTTGGCCCAGGATCGAACATTGTTTCGTTCTGCTGTGCATGGGGCGCTATGAGTCGGTTCTGACTCGATGGCACCTGACAACAACAACAACAAGAGAATCTCCCACAACTCCTTTGTTAGTTTGTAGTACTTGTGGTAGCTTGCATGTTGCGGTGACGCTTGAAGCTATGCCACCAGTATTTTAAGTATCAGTCGGGTCACTCATGGTAGACTGGTTTCAGCTGAGCTGCCAGGCAAAGCCAGATCAGGAAGAAGGAGAGGTGGACTGCTCCTGAATGCTTAGTCACTGAAAACCTTATGAATAAGTAATAGAGCACTGCCAGGTATCACCAGAGTACTGAATATTAAAACATGATAAATAGTACCAGAATATTGTCAGATACAGTGCCAGAAGATGAGCCCCTCAAACTATGACTGGGGAAGAGATGCCTTCCTCAAAGTAGACTTCTGTGATGACACAAATGGAGTTAAGCTTCTGGAACCTTCATTTGCTGATGGGGCACAACTCAAAATGAAGAGAAACAACTGCAAACATCCACTAGTAATTGGGACATGGGATGTACAAAGTATGAATTTAGGAAAATTGGAAATTGTAAAAGATGAATGGAATTCATAAAAATCGATATCCAAGGCATTCATGAACTGAAATAGACTGGTATTGGCCATTTTGTGTCTGACAGTCATATGGTTTACTGTGATGGAAATGACAAATTCAAGAGGAATGGTGACACATTCATCATCAAAAATAACAGTTCTATCTTGAAGTATAATGTTGTCTGTGTTAGGTTAATATCCATATGCCTGCAAAGAACACCAGTTAATGCCATTATTATTCAAATGTATGTACCAAGTACTGATGAAATTGAAGAATTCTATCAACTTTTTCAGTCTGAAACTGATCAAATGTGCAAGCAAGATGTACTGATAGCTACTGTGATTGGAATGCAAAGGTTGGAAACAAAGAGTATGGATCAGTAGTTGGAAAGTATGCGTTAGTGATAAAAACAATTCCCAGAGATCACATAATAGAATTTTGCAAGGCCAATGACTCATTCTTTGCAAATACCTTTTTAAAACAATATCAAGGATGACTATACACAGGGACCTCACCAGATGGAATACACAGAAAACAAATTGACGACATATGTGGGAAGAGATTGTGGAAAAGCTCCATATCATTAGTCAAAACAAGGCCAAGGGCAGACCGTGTAATGAACCATCAATTTCTCATATATAAATTCAGGCTGAAGCTGAAAAAAAATTAAATCAAGTTTGTTGTTGTTAAGTGCCATTGAGTCATTTCCTAACCCAAGTTTACAAGAGCCAACATATGACCTTCAACATATCCCACCTGAATTTAGAAATGATCTTGAAAAGATTTGATGCATTAGATACTAATGACTGAAGACCAGACAAGTTGTGGGATGGCATCAAGAACATCATTCAGGAAAAAAAGCAAAAGGTCACTAAGAAGACAAGAAATAAATAAAGCATCAAAATGGATGTCAGAAGAGACTCTGAAACTTGCTGTCTAGCATAGAAATGCTAAAGCAAATGGAAGAAATGAGGAAGTGAAAAGAGCTGAACAGAAAATTTCAAAGGGCAGCTTGAGGAGACAAAGGCCAATATTACAATGAAATGTGCAGAGACTTGGAGTTAGAAAATCAAAAGGGAAGAACATGCTCAGCATTTCTCAAGCTGAAAGAACTGAAGACAAAATTCAAACCTTGACTTGAAAATGGAGTACTGGTGTGGCGCTGTGGGTTAATGTGCCAGACTGCAAAGCCATTTGAACTGCAAGGTCGGCAGTTCAAGCTCACCAGGTGCTCCTTGGAAACCCTATACAGGGTCGCGATGGGTCAGAATCGACTAGACGGCACTCAACAACAACAACACGGGCAAAATGTTGATGCACAGCATCAAAAGAAGATGGAAGGAATATATAAAGTCACTGTACAAAAGAATGGTTGATGTTCAGACATTTCAAGAGATAGCATATGATCAAGAAAGAGCCAATGATACTGAAGGAAGAAATCCAAGGTACACTGAAGGCATTGACAAAGGACAAGGCTCTGGTAATTTATGTAATACAAATGGAAATCTTTCAATAAACTGATGCAGCTCTGCAGGCACTTACTCATTTATGCCAGGAAATTTGGAAGATAGCTAACTGGCCAACTGACTGGAAGAGACCCATATTTGTGCCCATTCCAAAGAGAGGTAACCCTACAGAATGAGGAAATCATTGGACAATATCATTTATATCACATGCGATTAAAATTTTACTAAGGATAATTTGTTCTAGCAGTTCATGGTACTTTTAATGGCTGCAAAAATAAATTGACAGGGAACTGCCAGAAGTTCAAACCAGATTCAGATGAGTACATGGAATGAGGGATATCATTGCTGATATGAGATGGATCTTGACTGAAAGCCAGGGATACCAGAAAGATTTACCTGTGCTTTATTGACTCTGCAAAGACTTTCGACAGTGTGGATCATAACATTGTGGAGAATGAGTATTCTGGAACACTTAATTATGTATATTGGGAACCTGTACATAGAGGCAATCATTCAAATAGAACAAGGGGGGGGGGGGTCATTGAATGGTTTAAAATTAGAAAAGGTGTGCACCAGAGTTGTATTCTTTTATCATATTTATTTAATCTGCACCCTGAGCAAATAATCCAAAAAACTGATTATATGAAGAAGAAGGTGGCATCAGGAATGGATTCATTAACAGCCTGTGTTATGTAGATGATATAACCTTGCTAGTTGAAAGTGAAGAGAACTTAAAATACTTACTGATGAAGATCAAAGACCATAGTCTTCCACATGGGTTGCGTCTCAATGTAAAGAAAACAAAAATCCTCACCACTGGACCAATAAATAACATCATGATAAATGGAGAATAGATTGAAGTCGAAGACTTAATTTTGCTTGGATCCACATGAGCAGCAGTCAAGAAGTCAAATGAAGTATTACATTAGGCAAATCTGCTGCACAAAACCTCTAAAGTGTTCAAGAATAAAGTTGTCAGTTTGAGGACTAAAGTGCGTCTGACCCAAGCCATGGTATTTTTAATAGCTTCATATGTATGTGAAAGTTGGATAGTGAATAATGAAGACCATAGAAGAATTGATGCATTTGAGTTATGGTGTTGGAGAAGAATATTAAAAGTACCATGGACTGCTAAAAGAACAAGGAACTCTGTTTTGGAAGAAGTATAGCCAGAATGCTCCTTAGAAGCCAGGATGGCTAGACTTCATCTCTCATAGTTCAGGCATGTTATCAGAAAAAACCAGTTCCTTGAGAAGGACATCGCGCGAGGTAAAGAGGAAGGTCAGCACAAACAAGGGAGATCCCTAATGAGACAGCTTGGCACAGTGGCAGCAACAATGGCCTCAAGCTTAACAATGATGCTGCAGAAGCAGGCGATGTTTGTTCTCTTCTACATAAAGTCGCTGTGAGTCAAAACCAACTCAACAACAAAAAGGGAACCTAGTGCTGTGCTATATCTCATTGGTATTTATAGGATATACCTTTTAACTATGTAGTCTATCAATAAAAAGTGATCTGTACTTTGCACTCCTATGATTAAATGTGCACAAAGGGTAGATTTTTGATGTTCCTATTTAAAGAAATGCATCCTGCCAGAGATGGTAAGTGTGCCTGAAAAGACTGTGGTTAAAGGATGTGACAATTTTCTTTTTAGTTATTAGCAGTTCTAAATCTTAATTACTGAAATAAATGATAGTATGGGACACTGCGGTTTATCACCCTTGTTAACATCTACTATTTTTATTTATTCTCAGTTGTCACCACTTCCACATAATCTATGCTTGCCTTTTAGGCAGAAATGTTCTTAAATAGTTTATTCTCATTGTAGGATCTTCTCTATACTTGATTTCAGGAAGTAATATGATGGGATGTTTTAGGCAGAAATAGAAAAATCTGAAGTTGTTGAATTTTTTTTTCCAGAAAATTACGAAAAACTGTAAATGGTGACGGGAACCGAGAAAATGGAAATAACTCCTCTTCTGACCAAATCAGAGGAATAGAAACTTTGGAATCTATACCCTTTATTAGTGGTTTTTTGGGAACTCTCTTTGGCAACAGGTAGACACACTGAAATTTTTATTTGATTTCATATTCACATTAGTGTTTACAGAGTATGCAGTATAACCAGGCCATGTGAACAAGCAGAGTAGGCATATTATCATTATGGTGTTATATATATTTTTTATTTTGGAGGGGAGGAAGTGGGTGGGAGTAAGGAGGGTTAGGATTTGGACTATGGCTAGCTCTAGGCTAAGCTAGGACTTGGTTTAGTGTTAGGGTTAGGGTTTTAACTAGGGTTCATGTTAAGGACATGAGTTGGGTTAGGACTAGGAATAAGGCTTGGTCTAGTTTTTAGGGTTACAGTTAGATTTATTTTTTTCTTGAACCTATTTGATTTCCTTCTTCATTTGATGTTCTGTAACTACATTATTCTCTCTTTTTAGTTGTTTTTTTTTTTTTTGCAACTATTTTGGTTTTGCATACTTCTGTATCTGGTAGGGTTTCTTCCAACAGTTCTTGGACAATATTCTCTGGATTTTTTTGTTGCTTCCTGTTCTGGAATTCCTGTCACATGTAAGTTGTTTCATTTGATAGTATCCCACATGATTCTTAGGCTTTCTTCAAATTTCTTTGGTTTTTTTTCCTGATTGTTCCTTTAGAAGATGAACATAGAGAGATTTTTCTCCAAACTCAGTATGTCGACTTTTCATGGATTTAATTCCATTTCTTTGCCCTTTCAGTGTAGTCTCTATTTTGGAAGTCTTAGTGCTAATCTAATGGCTTTCTATTTGCTGTTTTTATATGGTTCCCCAATTGTTTTGTCAGTTTGTTTCCTCAATTTTTCCAGTTTTGTCAATGGCTTTATTTCATGTGTAATTTTCTTGATCTATCAATCTGTTGAAGTTGCCTAATTAGCATTCCTTTAAATTCCTTATCAAATAGGCTTGATACCATTTCTGGTGTTGTATTTTCCGACTCTGTATTTTGGTCACTTGTGTGGGGCACTCTGTCATGTTTATTTTTGTGTAAGCTGAAATTGCTTATTCTAAGATATGATTGTGTCATTGATATTTAGTTGATTGTATTTTGATGTATTTTCAAGGACTCACTACTTGTCTCCTGGTGGCTCTGGTAGAGACTGGCAGTGTGAATGTGATCAGTTCTCTGTTCACTGTGTACCATAGTTTCAGGGTACATTCATGCTCCTCTAGAATCAGGAGCACTGTGCCAGGTGCCTGACCCCAGGCAGAGCCTAGGCTGTACAGGAGGACGTGCCACTCTCTGCTGGGTTGGCCATGGAGGTGGGGCTGGCTACTCCCCCATCTACCAGGAGGACAGGAGGACAGGAGAACAGGGAAGAACTGCTCCCCCGTGTCACCAACCTCCAGCCTTATCCTGTGCCCTTAGGCCACTATATCAATATTCACTTGTAAAAGCTCAAGATGGCTGTGCCACACTATGCCACACCAGTCCAAAGTCTGGTTTTCTTCTCGTTTACTGCTTCTGTTCAGATTCCTCTTCCAGTCAGCACTCAGTGTACCTGTCTGTCTTAGCCTCTGATGCTCAGGGTTCCAGGACCACCATCTGTATCGGTTTCACACAGCCCCTCATGTCTTTATTGCAGAGGGTTGCCTCAGTGTGTTTGCTTACTTGGCCATCTTGCTCTTGATTCTGTGGTGTGATTTTCAAGGATTCTAGAAAGATGTATTTACTCATAATGTCATCTTCACTGTGCAATGTTATCTATAATGCCAGTATTCTACCATAAAAGATTCATTCTTTTTGAGCTCTAATGACTTTTTAGATTATAAGGTTAGAAAAAATATAAATACTCTGAACGGATAAGTATTTTGAACCAAATTGTCCAACCTCTTGAGAGAAATAGGATTTATAAAGAGCAGTGTGCGAGCTGACACATCTTTAGACTAGAAATGGGATGCAGGACAGGACCTGTGATAGGCTGTGGCCGAGAAAGGAAAATGGATCAACGGCAGATTTTACTTAGTTCTTGATTTTGCAGGACATGACAGCAAATAGGACTGATTATTCCAGGGTAGTCAGGAACATTCATGAAAGATTTGCGCACTGCTGAAAATTGAAGAACATAGCATTTACATGGGAAGTGGTGTGGAAATGACATTCTATGAAGTAGTGGTAACAGGCTTTAGGATGTAAACGTTGGCATGGCGTTTGAGAGGTATTGTGGAGAAGACTGTGAATCTATTTTCAGGAACTAGGTTGTTGAATTCTCCACTGAAAAGTAAAAATTGCCTCTTAGTTAATTGGTGTACATCTTTGGAAAAATAGAGTTAAGTATAGCAATGTTTCGTTCTGTTGTGCATAGGGTCACTATGAGTCGGTACCAACTTGATGGGACCTAACAACAATAGTATTTTATCTTATGAGTCCTTTAGCAAGCTAGAGGCCTGACAAAGGTCATTTCTGAGTGTTCTCAACTTCCAGAAAAATATATTGTACTCCCTAAAAGAAAGTGATTTCATGAAAGGTGCAAAAACTATTTAGTGATTTTTTTTTTCCTTTTTAAAAATAGGACTAAGAGAGTAAAATTAATATCTAACAAAGAAACTGAAACTGAGAATGACTCAAGTTGTCTGCATCCTATCATTAAGAAGAGACAATGTCAGCCAGAGATTAGAATGTGGCAATCAAGAGAGAAAGCAAAATTTTCAGATGGAGATAAATCTCATAGGGTAAGATTTTGATGAGTATAAATATAACATTATTAAAATCTTTTCTTTCCTTTGTGAAGCCTTCCTATTCTTAGACTCTGCTATGAATTCAAAATAGATAGTAATATGAGAGGAATTAAAAAAGTTCGTGGAAAATGGAATGAAACGATAATGGAATTTCCCCACCAACTTTTTGAAGCCCTCTCATAGGTTTGTATAATTTGACTTAACAAATGAATGGGATGTAAAACCCACAGGACATGAAAAGGAAAATGATCAAGTGAAAACTGCATTTATTTTTATAATTTCTAGGAGTTGTTATACTATCAAATTGATTCTAGCTCATAGGATTTCCTAGGCTGTAATCTTTGCCAGAGCAGATTGCCAGGTCTTTGTTCCTGTGAAGTGACCCAAGTGAGTTCAAACTGCCAACCTTTTGGTTAACAGCCAAGCACTTAACCGTTGTGCCACCAGGGCTCATTTTAAAAGCTAGAACTTATTGTTGTATCTATTAATGATCCAGCCATAACAGTAGGCTGGTAGATTTAATAAACAGATTAGTATAGAGAATGTTATGTCATAATCCAGAGAGATAATACAGAGTCCTTGAGGAGTACAAATGATTTGGTTTCTAGTTGTGTGCTCGGTTGCTAACTGAAAGATTGGAGGTTTGAGTTCTCAGAAATGACTGGGAAGGAAGGCTTAGCATTCGATGCCTGAAAGATCAGCCACTGAAAACCTTACGGAGCACAGTTCTACTCTGGCATACGTGGAGTCTCCACAGCAACTGTATTTTAAAAATGATAGTATCAAAGGGTTTAGGAAACAGTGGTTTAGATAGACTGAGCCTGTTCTTTGTCCAAAACTAACTATAATTTTTGATTTGAAATATCTTATTTTTATTTTGGCATTTAAAATGACAAAGTGGGCTGATAGTTACTGAGTCATTACTATTACCAGGTACTGTCCTTGCTTATACTAACTCATTATAAGTATAAACATGTACTTGCTTATACTAACTCATTATTTTCAATCACTCTGTGAGATAGGTGATTTTTCAATCATTCTTCTCTTTTGTTCGTACTCTTCAAATGAGGAATCTGACACCCAGAGAGGTTTACTGACTTGCCTACAGTTATATTGCTAGTAAGTAGAAGAGCTTAGTAGATTCACACTTGGAGTTTGACCTGAGTCTCTGTTTTAATCACCACATAATACTACCACATCATTCAGGCTATTTAATTTCAAGCTCAGTATTTTTCCTTGCTGCTGTCGAATAATATATAGATTGGTTCCGTTCTGGTTTAGCTTGTTTCTACAGCTTTTTTGTTTGTACATATGCAGAATAGTATGGTATTGTGGGCTGTTCCCAGTAAAGGTGTTGCTGTTCTCTTTGTAGGAGGCTTGTAGGCCTTTGGGTAATGGAATTTCAGATGATCTGTCAAGTGAAGAAGATGGTGAGGCACGGACACAGATGATACTATTGCGTCGGAGTGTGGAAGGGGCCTCAAGTGACAATGGCTGTGAAGTTAAAAATAGAAAGTCAATACTTTCAAAGCACCTAAAATCTCAGGTAATTTTTATTTTAAGTGACTAAATCACTGAATAGTAATGAGGCATATTTAACATGTTTTCCTATGGTTTGTGGGTTTAATTTTTGGCAGGTAAAGAAAACCACTTCAAGGTGGTGTCCTCTCGCGCGGGATTCAGATAGCGTGGCTGACTCAGAATTTGAATCAGCAGTTTTCGGCCAGGTAAAGTATCCTTTTGCAAGATCAATGTTTAAGGAGTATTTTCAATATAATAACTTGATCTATTCCTTTTTTTATTGATTGTCCCAACGTAGTGCTTAGATTTGCCTGTGCCCTTGTCTTGTACCCCCTCTATAGCAGTCCATCTATTTAGCAGCTTTTAGACTTCTGCTCACTCCAGAAAGAAAATGAACTCTTCACGCTTGCACTTGCATTCTAATGTTAGAAGACTCATAAATGATGCTTAGAATGAGATCCAGTCCCTAAATGATGAGGTTACTTAACATTCCCTTGGAATATGGAGCTTATTCTTTGTTTTTTCCAATTAAAATTTTTATTGTGAATTAAGATTTACAGACAAAATCATCAGATTTATATTCAACAAATTATACAGTTCATTTCATCTCAATGATTTCAATCCCCTCCATGCAGCAACAGTTATCCCACTTCCTCCCTGTGCTTCCTAACTCCATTCCACCCTCCTTCCCATCCTTTCTCAACTTTGTCCTTAAGTAAATGCTGCCCTTTTGACCTTCAATGACCTCACCAGTGCGATTGTCCCCTCCATATGTATACCTATCTACTGCTTGGCTGAAAATTAGGCCATGAGGGCGGCTTCTTTCTGTTTCAGACCTGAAGGGTGGCCGAGGACCGTAATCTAGGGTTCCTCCAGTCTATTTCTGACCAGTAATCCTGGTCATTTTTTATATTTTGAGTTTTGTTTGACATTTTCTCCCACTCTATCTGGAACCTTCTAATGTGATCCCGTTCAGAGAAGGTAAGGTGGTGGTGGTAGTTGGGCAGCATCTAGTTTTTATGGTCTCAGAGTCTTGGTGACTGATGTTCATGTGCTGTGCAGTTTATTCTTAAGCATAATTTCTGTATAAGTAACACTGATGCTGCTGAGGAAAGAGTTTTGAAAAAAAACTTTGGAGTAGTGGGCATACTGTAACATGCGGAATACTGTACGTCAGAAGTGGGCAGAATAAATGGTGTTGGTGTGGTTTGGTTAGTTTTGATTGCCAAGGAAGTAGGGTCATGGAAAACCTTTCATGGCTTGTCTGTCCTCTCCTTCTACCTGATTATCCTTCTTCATGCTGGTCTTGGGCCATTGGACATGATTAGATCTATTGTCAAACCTATAGTATTTAGAGTAAGGGACACTTTGGGTATGCCAAGTGGCTCAGCTAAGCCAATTAGGGAGGTTCTGTAGGTGTGCTTGCAGGAGTTGGCCCCACTCTGGGACACCTTAATTTATAATCCCCAGTAACTTCTTAAAGGGAGTTCTTTTAAAGCCCTGATGGTCAGAGAGTATAATCATAAGGTTTAAATGTTAAAATGTATTAGTGGTAGGTAAAGTCTTGTGAACAATTGATTACATATATGGTGGTTGACTTGCAATAGCTTGCCAGCCATTGCCATAGATTGTTTTAATTTCATTTCAGATGTATTATTGGTTTAAAAAATGAATGAAACATGTTTTTTCCTTTGAAGGGTTCTAGATCTGACATGAATAGTGGCTCTCGAAACTTTAACATGTCAAGAAGAGACTCAGAAAGCACCCGCCATGATTCTGAGACGGAGGATATGTTATGGGATGACCTGCTACATGGCCCAGAATGCCGCTCATCTGCCACCAGTGACAGTGAAGGGGCCCATGTGAATACACTTCACCCAGGGACTAAACGGGACTCCAAAGACGATGTTTTTCAGCAGGTTCGTGAAGGCAATGATGATAGTAGCTAAGATTGATTGTGTCTCATATACCAGGTGCTGTGTTATCTCATTTAACTTCACAATAATCCTATACAGTAAATACTATTGTTATCCTCAGTTTAGAGATGAGATTGTATAAAATGAACATCACAAATCCTTGCAATGATATTTGATGTTCATTTTATATGATCAGAGTTGTTTGAGTGGTTGTTGTTAAGTGCTGTGGAGTTGATTCCAAGGCTTTACATCTTTGTGGGAACAGAAAGCCTCATTTTTCTCCTGTGGAGTGAGTAGCTGGCAGGCTCGAACCATGGACCTTGTGGTTCTGAGTCCAGTGCTTACTGTATGGAGCCATCACATTCCCCCTGTTTGAATGGTGAGTCTACCTTACTTTGATAAACATCACAGTAGCTTGTATGACTTGCTAGGAGTTAGTGTTGCTTCTATATTATTGTTAAGTGCTGTCTAGTCAGTTCCAAATCATAGCAACCTTGTATAGAGTTTCCAGGGAACAGCAGTCCGATGTTTACCCTATGGTGCTGGACCAGAACTCCGTTGCATCTCAAATCAAATGATGCTTTTAATTTCAGGTTTTATATTAATATAAAATCAGATAACCCCAAATTATAGCTGCCTTAGATATTACAATCTTATAACCAGTGTAGGAATTCTTTCTTCATCTGTAGTGTGGGCATAATAGTTCATACTTGGGAATGTTTTGAAATATCTAATGATGTAATAGAAAGTATTTAGCTCAGCGCCTGGCAAAGAGTAAGCACTCAATAAATCAATGTTAGCATTATCATTACCATCCCCATCAGATGACCAGTCAGCCTCTGCTTAAATACTTCCTGGAGACAGAGCGCTTTTTATTTCATGAGACAGCTTGCTCCACTGCTGGATAGAGTGAGCGAGTAAGAAATGGCTCTCATTAGTTAGCTAGATCTGTCTCTCTGTTATTTCCACCTGTCAATCCTACTGCTGTTTTCTAGGGCAATAAAGAATAAGTCTACCTACTCTTCCACAGAGCAGCCTTTCAGATGTTGATGATAGTTATCAAGATTCGCCTTAGTTTTTAGTTCTTTAGGCTAAATGTTTCCACATTGCCTTGCAAATAGTGGATAATGGATATACATTTGTTTAATTTTCTTGATTTTTAAGAAACCATTAATTTAGATTGCTTGTCATCATGTGTAGCCTAAATCCCACATCATTAAATGTTTGAGTGTAAGTCAAAAAGTATTGTTGATAGAATCATAGAAACCTTTATTAAACAAAACTATCACAATGGGAAGCTATTGTTTCTTGGTATATCCTCCATCTTAGTCTACTCACTTTTGAAGGCAGTATTTCCAGCTCTCTAATCGTGCTGCGAACCTTAAGGTCAGTGGTTCGAAACTACCAGCCGCTCTGCGGGAGAAAGATGAGGCTTTCTACTCCCGTAAAGATTTACACCCTCGGAAACCCTGTACAGGGTCGCTATGGGTCGGAACCGACTCGACGGCACTTAACAACAACAACAACCTTCCCTGGGGAGTCCTGGTATGGCACTGTGGGTTAATGCGTCAGACTGCAAAGCCGTTTGAACTGCCAGGTCGGCAGTTGAAGCTCACCAGCTGCTCCTCGGAAACCCTATACAGGGTCACTATAGGTTGGAATCGACTTCATGGCACTTAACAACAACAACAAATCTTCCCTGGAGAATTCTGCACTCTTCGATTTACACGTCAAAGCAGCAGTTTGGGCATCCTTGAGAGACTCAAATTGTGTTCTCTTTCAGTGTTCTTTGAGTCTGGGGAACAAAAAGTACTCTGAATATTTTTGTTCCAAAACAAAAAGCAAGATCAGGACTGGAGTAAGGTTTCCCAATTGCATTCTCATAGGACACTCCTTGCTTCTCTCAAGGAATGTGCTGATATGTTGTCATGATCCCCTTTGGGATCACAAAATATAGTTGCCATAATTTTCTGACCTGCTCTCTGCCTTGAGTTTCACTGACCCAGCAGATCCCTTCTGAAACCACTGTTTTGATTGTTGTTGTTGTTAAGTCCATCAAGTCTGTTCTGACCCATAGTGACCCTGTATAGGGTTTCCGAGGAGCAGCTGGTGAACTTGAACTACCAATCTTGTGGTTCAAACTGACTTTGCAGTCCAGTGCATTAACCCACAGCACCAAACCAGGACTCCAATGTTTTGATTAGACCTTTTCTTTATTAAAGGCACCCTAAGGAGCTCTGATAATGTAGTGGTTACGAACCAGGCTGCTAATCTCACAGTCAGCAGTTCGAAACTACCAGTTGTTTCATGGGAGAAAGACAAGGCTTTCTGCTCCCGTAAAGATGTACAGTCTCAGAAACCCTGTGCAGGGTCACTATGAGTCTGAACTGACTCCACGGCATATGATAACAACAACAACGAGACTAAGGAGTCCTGGTGTGGTGCTGTGGGTTAATGAGCCAGACTGCAAAACCATTTGAACTGCAAGGTCGGCAGTTCAAGCTCACCAACTGCTCCTCGGGAACCCTATACAGGGTCGCTGTGGGTTGGAATTGACTCGATGGTACTTAACAACAACAGTGAGACTAAGATAAGTATACAAGAGGGCTTTAAAAGCTCTTTTAAAAGGAATAGAAAGATAATGGAATTTTTCTGAGAATGTTTTGAAACTCCCTTGTATTACTGAGAGATGTTATCTACTACCATCCACCGATTACAGAAACATATTTATACACATATTTGTTTGGAACAAACACGTGCATGTATGAACTGGAACCCTAGTAGCTATATTTTTTTGACTTGCCCTCATATACAGTTTTTAAAAACTAACAAATAGCATATATTTTTCTCATTAATGTTTTATACTACTGTCTCCAGTTTTGTTGTCAACGTTTTAATCTCAATATTCTTTACATTCATTCTGAAGGTTCTTCTAAGTTAAATTCATCCTCAGTACTTAAGCATAGTATCATGGTGATCTTGACCTTTTGGGACTTACAGTAGATTTTTAAGTTATGTCTAAGAATAATTGCATAAGGTGAACTTCCCTTCAGTCAAATTTACCATTTCCCAGTCCCCTCTACCCAACCTTCTCATCTTCTTGTATTCCTGCTTCTTACTTCCACCCAGAACTAATGACCTGAATTGGAAACCGTGGAGTCCATGTTTCTAATCAATCAGCATGTTGTTTTGATTCTATTCTCTAGATATATGAATCTCTCCACCTGCTTCGACCTTGCTTGGTGTAGCCATTATCATCTCTCATTTGGATTGTTAAAACAGCACCTCTAGGCTTATCCTACTTTGTTTGATTTTCCACACTGCAGCCAGAGTGATGCTTCTAAAATATAGATCTGATAATACCATTCCCCTTCAATTTCTTTAATTGCTTTTCTCCCCAGCTTCTGGATTATTTGCTTTGGGTCTTTTATTGGCTTTGAAAGAAATCTCATCTCTGAGCATTCTCTCCCTGCATCTTACTTGGTGTTATGTTAACTTGACTAAATCTCTTCTAGTTTCTGAAATGTACCAGCTCCCAGCTACTTCTGGCCTTTGACATACTGGCTTGTTGTCCTACAACATACTTCTCTCTAATACCCATTCCTTTGGATTATTCCTTTATTTTAAAACTTTTTATTGTGAATTGAGTGAAGGTTAACAGATAAGATCATCAGTGTTATATTCAACAAATCATACACTATGTTTCATCTCAGTGATTGCAGTCCCCTCCCTACAACAACAGTTATCCCACTTCCTCCCTGTGATTCCTATTTCCATTCTACCCACCTTCTCAATTTTGTCCTTAGGTAAATGTGGCCATTTTGATTTTGGACAATTTGCCATTCCATGGTGATCATACCTTACTAGTGTTGTCCCTCCTGTATACCTGTCTGTTGCTTAACTGAAAATTGGACCGTGAAGTTCCTTTCCAGACCTGAAGAGTAGTTGAGGGCCATAGTCTCTGGTTCCTCCAATCTCTTTCTGACAGTAAACCCCTTTGTGTATATTTATATGCATATATATATAGTTGTTAAGTGCCGTCGAGTCAGTTCCGACCCATAGCGACCCTGTACACGGGGTTCCGAGGGTGTAAATC